GCAGAAATAGTATCACACCTAGGACTAAGGAAAACGTCTAACTGGACCTTAGAATGGATGCACTTAACATACCCAAAAATAGTCAAAATACTTGCCGAGGTAATATCTCAGAATTATGCCTCTAAAACTGCCATGATGTGCCAAATTATGCTTTTAAAACTTCCATGATTTGCCAATTGTATGCATCTAAAGCTGGTTGCCATGGTGTGCCAATTCTATGCCTCTAAAGCTGCCATGATGATGTGCCAATCGTATGCCTCTAAAGCGGATTGCCATGGTGTGCCAACTGTATGCTTCTAAAACCGATTGCCATTGTGTGACAATTTTATGCCTCTAAAACTGATTGTCATGGTGTGCCAATTGTATGCCTCTAAAACTGATTGCCATGGTGTGCCAATGTTATGCCTCTAAAACTGATTGTCATGGTGTGCCAATTATATGCATCAAAAGCATATTGCCATGATGTGCCAATCGTATGCCTCTAAAGCTGATTGCCATGGTGTGCCAATTGTATGCCTCTAAAGCGGATTGCCATGGTGTTCATTTTTAAAATATGCATTAAAAGCAAGTGGGTCTTGAAAAATTACTGTTTTCAAAAGTGGTTCTCGGCCCATAAATGTTTGGGAAGCCCTGGACTAGGGATACCTCCACTGGCCACTCCAAAGATGGTACTAGAGGTACTCCTTAAAGCAGTACTGCCATTCAGAGTCTCTACCCTCTGTGTAGAGACTTAACTCATAGAGCTGCATTGATTCAATGCATCTCTAAGAGGAGATGCTGATTGGCTAGGGCTGTGTTTGGCTTGTGCTGTCTCTGCTCCTGATCGGCCTTCTTGACAGTCTCAGTCAATCCAATTGTTTCCTATAGGAAAGCATTGGGATTTGCTCACATCTCCACTTCTGAGGATGTCAGCCAAGCAGGCAGATCAGAGGCAGAGCCAGCAGCAGCGGACTGGAACACAGGTAAGGGTGTACTATATTTAGGGGGAAAGGGAGGGCCTGTGTTCCTGACCCTATAGTGTTCATTTAAGGCACTTACAGTTTTGCAGTAGATACCATACAGTCAGTCTTAAATTATAAATTTAGAAAATGAAAAAAAAAGTGTATTTTTAATACTTACACCAAATTCTTTTACTCCTCTTTGAGGGGTTTTAGCGTAATTCCATAGTTTTATCATAGACACTGTAGTTGGCTGATCAAACACAATGTAAACGCGATTAACCTGTTCAAAAATGTATAAATTATTAGATTAGGACAATGGTGATTCAACTATTTCAAAAGTTAACAAACTAATGATATGCTATTCACACATATTTTTGTAAACATGTCATTAGCATTTTAAAGGGAAGTAACAAGGTAAGAGAGGAAAGGGGAAAAATACAACCAAAACAAAAAGAGCTATATTCACTTTTGAAACAAAAGCTGTTGAAAAAAATATTTTTTAAAGCGGCACTGTCACCGTCTGGTAGTTCTACTTACCCGAACCAGTCCGTTGCAGGGCAAGGCCATCTTTTTCCAGCAGATTCTTTTCAGCTCCTGACTGCAGGATCCTCCATAGGAGGATAGGTGACGGCTGGGGGGGATTGATGCTTTTAGACAAAAGGTAGCTCCACCCAGTGTACAAGCGTAAGACATATACAGAGACAAAGTAGCCTCTACTTTGTCTCAGTATATCGCTTTACTAGGTTGGAATTTGAATGAAATCCCAACACAGTCAAAATGAGTATTTCATACAGATTCTATCTTTGTAAAATACTTATATTTTTGGGAATAGGAGGGATTTAACAGTGCTGCTATAAGTCAGTTCATACCAATACTGGAAATATGATGTCAAATCCAAGTTAACTTAAGGAGTTGCATTAACTAAAAAGCAGAAAACACTTTTTTTGGTCAATAACCCTTATTGAACTACTTCCCTCTACTATAAGAACAAAACCATACCTTATCTCTGATCCAAATTGAAGGCCAAGTTGTCCTGGAAGTCCAATCTTCCTCTAGTGAAGTCACTATGCATCACTGGTGATGTCAAGGAGGACAGGTGGAAGAAAGGACTTAGCCAGCATTAACGATGAGACATCATATTATTATTTGCCTGGCACCAGCATGCTGTGTGCTGGTGACAGATGTCCAATATGCACAGAATTTTCATTAGCCAACCCACAAGATTTGTACTGGACTGGTTGATGACATCTAATGATTGTTTTGCTTACCTGCTTACCTCCTCCTCTCCGATCCGACGGCGGGACAGATGCAGCACGCTGTTTGTAGTCTGACGCCAATGTCAGAACAGTGCAACTCAGAGAGCCGATACCATCAGCACGAACAAACACAGAAAAGTCCTGAATTCGCCGATTTGGGTCTTTAGGCGTTCTAAAATGAAGCCAGCCAATTGTGTTATTGCACTGGCTATTTAAAGTCAGAGCTTGGTGGAGCAAGTTGCCCTGTTGTGGTTCTCCTTGACCCAAGAGTGCGTTTCTACTGTATTATTGTATTGCAGTCACGGTTACTGACCTTGGCTTGCTTAACCATTTCTCTGCTCTCTGTGTTCCTGACCTTTTGGCTTATTTTACAATAATCATGTTTTCTCCTTGACCTCAGCTTTCTCTTTGACCACTTTTACGTTATATATAATATTTGGTGCACCTCTTTTAGTGGATTAGGGTCTGAGAGTTTTGGGGTTCCCTTACTTAACGGTGACAATGCTGCTGGAAGTGGAGATACACATTTAGAAGCAAAAAACCTCTGTAGGGGCTGTGTTGAATAGTGAAACACTTAATATACAGACTCAAAAAAAAGAAGTCTCTTTATTCTCATCAATACTTCTGGGTATATACATTTTTTCATATTGTGCTATTCATCCTCCTGGTTAAGTGACTATGAATCAAACTATACAAGATATAATGGTACACATGCCAAAAAGGGAGTACCTGGGAGCACTACAAAGATTTTAGATGTATGCATGTACCTTGTATGTTGAAAAATAAAAAAAAAATACATTTAAAAAAATATTTGTATTCAGCGATGTCTCACGTGTAAAACAGTACCCCCTATGTACTGGTTTTATAAGTTACAGAGTCAAATATAGCGTGTTAAATTTTTCAGTTTTTTCACATTGAAATTGGTTACGTTGCCTTTGAGACCGTATGGTAGCCCAGGAATGAGAATTACCCCCATGATGGCATACCATTTGCAAAAGAAGACAACTCAAGGTACTGCAAATGGGGTATGTCCAGTCTTTTTTAGTAGCCACTTGGTCACAAACACCGGTCAAAGTTAGTGTTAATATTTGAAAATGCAAAAAACTAATTTGAACGCCAATTCTGGCCAGTGTTTGTGACTAAGTGGCAGGTCCTGCAAATTGTAATTAATAAAATGACCTAATTATGTAAAATTATTACATAAATATATACGTAGAATTATTTTATATATACACACGTATATATATATATATATATATATATATATATATGTTGTAGAATTATTAGGCCTCTATAAATCTGTAAGGCCCCTTTAAATCCTCTTGCTATACCTCTAAGAGGCCCCCATAGTTTTACAAGAAAGCTTTGTCTATAGAACATAGAATTTGCATGGCAGCAAGAAATAGCTTTGATAAAATGTGTATTTACTAAAAGCCCTGAAACCTAACCTTGAGAAACTAACCGTGCCAGCTACACTCTAAATGGATAGCTGCCAAAAGGCCCCTCCCGTCGAGTGAGCTCCTCATGTTAGCAAAATGGCGCTAAAACCTGGAGGAGATGATCATGACGAGGATAGTGACTTAAGATGGTACACCCCATAGGGAGGGCATTTTACTAACATCTTAGCACCTAAGCCAATTAATGTCTATTTGTCTATATCTTGATTTTCTTCAATGATGTAATAATGCCTTTAAAAGGGCCTGCGAGCCTGCTTTTTAATCAGAAGCCATTAAACTTCTCCGAAGTTCTTTCATTAACCTGAACTTTGTGTCTCAGTGTGAATTTACTTCTGCGTGCACGCAACTTTATTATCATTAATTTGGACAGGAACAGATAGTCATTCAAACTAATTGGTTTGCAGTAAATTATCTACAACATATATATACATAGATAAATGCTTATGAAAATAGATATATATATATATATATTATTTTGTTCTACATGTATTTTGATATCTATATATTAATTTTAAAATACAGTTAGAACGAAATTATACATGTATATATATTTCCTATTTTTGTAATTTTATTTAACGTATTTACAGATTTGTTTATTTTATATATATAACTATAATATTAATTATATATTTAGTCAATATCATTGTACGTGTACTTTGATATGAATATATATATATTAATATTAAAATACACTTAGACAGTGTATGTATGTATGTATATATATATATATATATATATATATATCTATATATACACTTAGATCATATATATAATAAATCTATATATGATCTAAGTATATATTATTTAATTTTAAACTGTTGTTTTTGTTTAATTTTTAACAGGTTGTTTTTGTTTTTTTCAGACAGCAGGGGGAGTACCTGTCATTACAGGCACTCCCCTTGCTGGCAATCACATGGCCCAGATGGGCCGAAGAGGAAGGAGGGGGACTCCTTGGGCTCCCAGGTAAGTCCCCATACCGCGATCACCGGCGACCGGGTAAGTACATAGGATGGCATGGACGTTCTATGCCGCCCTGCAGCATTTAGAGCCGGTTCCTTAAGGGCGGCATAGAACGCCCCGTGGTCTTAAAGGGTTAAAAAGGCCACTCTAAAATGTGCAGATTTATCATACAGCACAATGCCATAGATGTCGCAAGGGTGCGTGCAATTGGCATGCGGACTGCAGAAATGCCCACCAGAGCCCATGAACTGAATGTCCATTTAAGCCGTCTCCAAAGGCGTTTCAGAGAATTTGGCAGTACATCCAACCGGTCTCACAACCACGTGTAACCACACCAGCCCAGGACCTCAACATTCAGCATCTTCACCTCCAAGATTGTCTGAGATCAGCCATCTGGACAGCTGCTACAACAATCGGTTTGCATAACCAAAGAATTTCTGCACGAACTGTAAGAATCCGTCTGCATGAGATACTGTGGCGAGATCCTGAGGCCCATTGTTGTGCCATTCATCCACCACCATCACCTCATGTTGCAGCATTATAATGCACGGCCCCATGTTGCAAAGATCTGTACACAATTCCTGGAAACTGAAACCATACAGTTCTTGCATGGCCAGCATACTCACCGGACATGTCACCAACTGAGCATGTTTGGGATGCTCTGGATTGGCGTATATGACAGCGTGTTCAAAGTCCTGCCAATATCCAGCAACTTTGCAAAGCCATTGAAGACGAGTGGACCAACATTCCACAGGCCACAATCAACAATCTGATCAACTCTATGCGAAGAAGAGTACAAGATTGTACAAGATTGTATAACCTGTCAGGGTTGTTGAAGGAACTCAGGATGCAGTAAAAGGTAGGTATAGAGTAAGCCAAAGAGAGGTACAAACAAGGATAAGACTAAGATATGGTCAAGATACAGCAAAAGTCAGTCCAGGCAACAAAGGTTCAAAGACAATAACCAGTGAGCATTTGCACTAAATACTGATCACGAAGAAGGGGCACCGTACACCTGAGCAAAGGAGTATGTGTGCATGGGCTTTATATAGAGGAAAAGGGAGACACCCCTTGTACACATCATCCCTGCATCCCTGACACCACCCTACAGCCTCCATTACTCTGCATAAAATCTGCCACATTTGGATTGCATGCTCCTTGACACCAGAAGGTGGAGCCCTGACCCTGACCAATGCTAAGGTTTTAACCCTAGTGGGTCATGGTGGAGCAGTATGGCAGAGTCAGGTAAGTCAGGGCTGGAGGGAGATGAGTGAAGCCATGACATGTTCAATCTTCTGGCTGTCACACACAGAAGATCTTGATGACAGAAAGGACACTGCAGAAGGAGTGGAAATGTCTACAGATGGACTGTGACCATCTCTACCAGAGTTGAATACCAATTGCAGCATCGTTACACAGCTATTATAATCTGGGGCCAATTCTTGATAAATCCTGGCCACCACCAGAAGCAACAAGGGCAAGAGACAGATCAAGCAGAATCTACAGAATCATTGGGGTATCCACCAGGCTTGCCCTCAGATCCTTGCCCATGGAAAAAGACATGGAAATTGGGAATTTGACTGAGCAGCCATCATGTGTATCTCAGGAAGACAACAATCTGGGAGGAAAAAAAGCAGACAGACTCCACATCTCTGGATGAAAGGTCTGGTGGTTGAGAAAGTTAATTTCCCAAATGTCTATGTAGCGCTTGTGAACCTCTGACCACACAGCACCCTCCTTGACACTCCTCTCACATATGGTTGACATTAGCACCCTGAAGGAACACTTATGAGTCAATAAGGGGTGGTCAATATACGAAAGGAGAGAAGCTCAAGTCCCAGCTGAAAGAGATCCTTGGAGTTTCCATCTTACTAGCTATAAGATAAGGCCAGTGACTAATGGAAGTATTTAGAAAATTGGGCTAACTAGATGGGACGAATGGTTCTCATCTGCCGTCACATTCTATGTTTCCCATGTTAACTAGTGGAGAACAGACCACTGCAGATGACACATGTGGAAGTGAGCAAAGGGTGCTGAGGGTTAGCCCATCAGGTCAAGAATCTTTAAAAAGTATCTACAAGCAAAGGTGAAGTCAAGTCTTGTTGCCAGATACACAGGACACATTCAGAGGTCTTGTGTAGTCCATGCCTCGATGAATTTAATATCATGTTTTGGCAGACCGATAGGGATCTATATGATATTAAAATGTGGAAAAAAGTTATGCAGTATATGACAGAAAATATATATCAATAATTGTAAATGGCATCACTGGTAGGCAGTGTAATTTTGTAAAACACACCTGAAAAAAAGTGTCCCCTCCCAGGGTCCTCCCCCACCGAGGGCTGTATAACGGAACCAGAACCCTTTGTCCCCGCCACTCAGTGTCCCCTCCCAGGGGTCCCCTGACAAACGGCCCCTGTTTCCGCCACTGTGTCCCCACCCAGGATCTTCTTCCTAGAAGTCTCTTTATCTGGAGAGCCCACTAACCTCCGCCATTGTCCAAAAGGATGTCTCCCCCAATCTTAGGGACCCCCAGCACGATAACCGGCATGAACAGCCAACGTACGTGGGGTCCCTGTGTAGAATTGGGTAAGGGAAGCATCTCCTTTCGGGACATAAATGCTCCCCCTGGCCTTCCCTTGCAGTTTCATACCTTGCGAGTTGCCAGCGTTCTAATTGATTGGTGTGAACATTCCAGTGGGTGCCATGGAGGTCCTCGTTCGGGAACTGAACGATGTGGGAAACAATCCGCGAATGCTCCTCCTGGATGGCAGGGGAGGCACGTGCCGAGGATCCCCTTGCGCTTTGTGATTTTGACACCTCATTATAAGGTGCAAACGTTCTAAAACTAAATTCTAAATGGGATTTTGTGGTGGTCCCTGTTCGGGAGGCGAATTAAGTCCCATTTGTGGCGGATCTCCTGAACGGGGAGCAGGTAGTACTACAAACACAACAAATGAAACACAGGGTCAAGATAGGGAAAACACATGAAAGGGAGGTCAGAACAGTAACACACATTGCAGGGTAACCGGGGAAGTTCACAGATTAGTGGGGGTTCCGCTACACAGCTCCCCCTTAACCACTGGTCAGCATCCGCAGGAAGGTCCTAAAGGATCGGCCTGCGGATGTCCGAGGGAAGCACCCACGGATCACTGGTCTGCCTGGACAGCCCGTCGGCATTGCCATTTTGCGTACTGGGTTGTCCGTACAAATAGGACTGTAGCTTTTTGAGGGCCCACACCACCGCCAGGCACTCCTTTTCGATGGCAGCGTAGCTCACCTCCCTGGGTAATAGCTTCCTGTTGAGGTAAGCAATGGGGTGTTCTCCACCATCATCCCTCACCTGGCTTAGTACGGCTCCCAATCCGAACATGGAGGCATCTGTGTGGACGAGAAAACGTTTCCTGGGATTAGGAGCGGCCAATACAGGGGCATTTACCAGGGCATTTTTGAGGGCTTGGAACACCTGCTCACACTCTGGGGTCCAGGCTACCTGTCGGGGTAGGTAGGTTTTTGCGGTCAGGTCAGTGAGAGATTTAGCTATAACGTTGTAGTTGGGGACAAACTTTCAGGCCAGCACCTGGGTTTTTGTTCAGAGATGGGGCCAACTAGCTACTGCCTCTACCTTGACCTGTTCAGGTTTCTGTGCCCCACACCCCACCAAGTGCCCCAGGTACTGCACCTCTGCCATCCCGAGGTGACACTTACTCGGTTTCAGTGTCAACCCTGCCTCCCTGATGCTATCCAGCACAGCTCCAACGTGGTGTCAGGTTCCTACCCTGACTAGCAAGACTATTTTCCATTTGATACCGTTCCTTTAAATTCCAGTACCTGTTTCCAACTCTCACCTGTAGAACATGAAATCAAATACTGCTATAAAAGGCCACACCTGACAAAGCAAGTGGCCTTGACATTGAAGTTTGATGATAACCTGAAAATACTTCATATCCTGGCTCCTGAGTTTACCTGTGGAATTTCCTTTTTGGTTACTTATCCTGCAATACTCACCAACCTGCTCCAAACTTACATGTACAACACTTCTTCCTGACCTATCTACAAACCTACCTGGACTTGCTATCTCCCTGCAGAACATCCAACTTATTTAAATAAATACAGGACTTTCATGTACTTCACCATGAACAAGTGGAGCACCTCCTCGGAGGACTTTTCTTGTTGCAAGTTCAGTTCTGGGCAGCTCGTGGATGCGGCATGCCCACTCTGTATGGGAATCCTTCTCCCATTTTCTTGTCCCTCTGAACTTCCGCCGGTATGCCTCCAGAGTTATGGCATACCTCGCCAGTAGGACATCTTTCACAGCTACGTAGTCGCGGATCTGGCCCCCAGGTACTGCTTGGTACGCCTCTGCAGCATTTCCTGTCATCTTGCTGCCCAGAATGGCGACACAGTTCGCCTGCTTGACTTCTAGCAGGAGGCACTCAAAGTCCTGCAGGAATTCTTCAATGCCCTCCTCTGCGTACCTGAACTCCCTGAAGGCAGTATGGGGGCAACTTTGGTTTGGGTGTAAGGGTGGCCGGCCCCTCTCTGGTCCACGGTTCCTCGGGTGTAGGACAAAGGCTTGGGTCTCAAAGCTTGGTCAGGAGTTCTACCGTGGGAGGCTTATTGTAGAAGGCCAAGCGCTGCCTCATCATTCTGGCGAAGGCTTCTTCTTCCCCCCTCCGGCTGTGGGGCAGCCTCCTCATTTCTTCACTTGTCGTCTTCTATTAGCTCGGCAATCAGGTCGGCTTTTTTTTTTTACGGTTGCCGGCCGGTTTCCCTCTTGCTTCCAGCAAGTCTTGTAGGGTTTGCCTTTTTAAGGAATTATAATCCATGGGTCTGTTGGCAGGGAAGTAGGATCCCGCTGCTTATCACCAATTGTAGCGGACCCTGGGTAACTCCTTGGGAGTGCGCTGGATTTTAATTTTTACTGTACTTATTGGCCCCCAGCAACACCCCATTTAAGCATGTTCAGGTGAGTGCAGCCAGCCCCTTGTTTTCCCATATATATGTGTTTGCATTACAGCCGTGATAACTTCACTGGCCACTCCTCAGGTGGATGTTAGAGATCCTTGCTGGGTCATGCCTGCCTAAAATGCATCCAAACATTCAGTGTCTCCTCCCTCTGCATGCAGACACTGAACTTTCCTCATAGAGATTAATTGATTCAATTCAACTCTATGAGGAGATGCTGATACCTCTTTGTCAGTCTCAGCCAATCCTATGGGGAAGGATTGTGATTGGATCAGGCCACCACTCCTGATGATATTAGCAAACATCTTGGTTTTCTGAGGCAAACAGCATGCAAATCTACAGCTTGAATACAGTAAGATTTTGGAGGCATGAGGGTCCCAAGCGGGCTAGATGGTGGTTTTAACACTATAGGCATGGGCGTCCGTGGAGAGGGTGGTACAGGGGGGTAGACACTCCGTTTCAGAAGCCGACTACCACTGAGCGACCTGGAGATCTGGAGCTGGAGGAAGCCTTTGGGGTTAAACCATTTGAGAGCGGTTTAACCCCTTACAGGAAAGAGAGCGTCCAGGGGCCTCCTGGCATCATAGCATTTTCATTTAGATTAAGTTATGGTGACCAGAATGTTCCTTTAATTTGCTTAAAGGAACACTATAGTGTCAGGAATACAAACATGTATTCCTGACACCATAGTTGTGAAAATGCTATTCACCCTGGCTTTATATGATAATGACTATGCTCCTCCCCTTCATGACACTGTCAAAAAGGGGCCAAGCATGGATGTCATTACAATTATTCCCCCCCCCGGAGGAAAAATTCCTGCGAATGCCCATGACTATAGGGTCAGGAATACATGTTTGTATTGAGAGCATGCCATATAAAACTGTATTACTGCAGAGAAAAAGAAAACATAACAGGGACAAAAAAAAATATAAAAATACAGAGAAAGTGAACATGGACTCCCAGTGGTTTAATTATGCTTTCAATATCAATTAATCCATTATTTCAAACTGTATTACATTTATATCAAATGTTTGTAGCATTCTTACCAAGCCAGGAAGAATTGGTGAGAGCCACATGTGCCTGCCATCAGTTGTATCATTTATATTATCAATTAGTTTATCAGGTGTTCTCACATCTTCAGATACTCCATCTAAAATGTTTATGCTTTCTGGAAAAGCTGCAATATCTGAAGAAGAGCTAAGGGCAAAATTAACTGTAAAAATGATTTACAGAATACATATTAAAAACAGCTCTGTCACTGGTGAGTATTTTATAAAGATATAATCTTTATAAAATACTCATGCAGACTGTATTGGAATTTCACTGAAATTCCAACGCAATCCAAAGATACCATAACTTTGGTTTCAACTTTTATCCAATCCCAGCAGTTGTCACAAGTGACAGCTGTGGGATTCAGGTAACATCTTGCTCATCTCAAGACGTGATCTAAGGAGGCTCCAGTAATCTTGAAAGATCCTCCACAGATCTCAGTGCTGTACTCTCACACATGCACAAAAGTACAGCACTGAAGTGCCAGAAGCTAACAATCGATCACCAGAAAGAGGATGGTGGTAGCCACGATGGATAGCTTCAGGTAAGTATACATACTTTTCAGAGCACCTCATGGCCACTGAACGGAGTAGTCACCTTCAGGCAGCTTTGCCAAATATGCAAAGATTGGTGAAAGTAACAGATCCACAGATTTAAAAACATTTCTTATATTTCAGCACCATGTATTTATAGGCATTTTGCATGTTTAGTCATAACTATTTTCCATATAAATGTCTCACAGTCACATTATTTAATGCTACTAAGAAAACAGTCACAATTAATGCATACACATATTACATTAAGGTATATGTGGAAAATGCTGTATTTTTCCGTATAATTTTTTGTTAATTCATTAAAAGGGCACTTCAGGCACAAAAACAACTTCATCTAAATGAAGCACTTTTACCTCAAGGAACTACAATGTTCTCCACTGGTTTAACCCCAAAGTTACCTCCAGTGGCGATGTGCACTGCATGTGGCTTCTGAATTTCAAGATTCAGTAAGTACGGAGTGCTGCCAGCTGCTGATTGGCTGAAAGTGGTCAGATGTGACTCCCCATTCACTAAACTGAGTTGGAAAGAAACGTACCTTTTCCAAGCCAGTTTAGTTAATGGGGAGTCACTGATTGGCTGAGTGTCAGGGTGGCGGTCCGATGACCCGGACCCAATATGCCTGATGTTGAAAGTAGGAGTCACAGTGTGGAAGTGGATTAGCAGGGTCTGGTGCAGGGTAACCGCACGCCCCCTGGTGTTGAGCACCAGCGTTTGTGCGGCCACATACCTGGACCCTGATGCAGCTTCAGTGGATCCCAGGAACTAGGAGCTTGGAATTAAGCAGACCTCCCAGGAGCTGAATAGGGAGGCTCTGCAGCAGGAATGTATCCAGTACAGAAACAAGGCAAGACTAGAACAGACACCAAACATGAAAACAAGACAGAACTAGTAGAACCCAGAACCAGAGAAGGATAAGAAGCTAAACCCAGAATATGTACACAATACATAAGGGAAACATTAACATAACAGGGGCAGGGCAGGACAGGACTGTACATGGACTGGGAATACAAAATAAGACAAGATATAATAGGCAAAACAAGAGGATACATAACTAAGTACTATATGTGAAAAACCATGGGGATTTAGTTACATTATATGATTATACATTGCATAAGCCTGCCACAACGTCAATGCACCCCATATTAGGCAGGTCCTACTCTAACTTCCTAATGTCTGCTAAATAAACCATAATAAAACACACACAGCACTTAGCTTCAAGAAAAGGCAGAGGACTTGAGCAGCTGAAACAAAAGGAATCATGGAAAAGGAACAGGTGTGGCAACATAAAACAAACAGTTAAAGGAATCCAGGAGACTGGGAATTCCAGGAACGGAATACAGGAATGAACCCAGAAAACCCAGCATAAAGAAAACCAGACATAGAATAGAAAACCAGAAAAACTAAACAAGAATTGTAATACCAGAAGCCATAGCAAG